ATAATTCCTTGGCATATTTCGACTGATTGACAAATAATGAGCCATCTAAACTATACTGAATTTGTAGCCCGAGAAAGTATGTTAACATTCCCATGTCTTTGAGATCAAAAACTTCTGCAAGCTGTGTAACAACTGATTGAATCTTTGTAATAGATGACCCCGTGAGGATAATGTCATCCACATATAGTAAGAGAAGTATCACATCTCCTTTGTCAACCTTCACAAATAGACTGGAATCAGATAAGGACGTTTTGAACCCCAATGCTGGTAAAAAACTTGTAAATTTAGAATTCCACGCTCTAGGCGCTTGTTTTAAGCCATAAAGTGACTTAATTAACTTGCACACATGGTTTGGATGTTTAGAATTCACAAAACCCTGAGGTTGCTTCATATAAACCTCTTCATCAAGGTCGCCATGCAAGAATGCATTTTTAACATCGAGTTGTCTTAACTGCCAGTTGAATTGAGTTGCCAAAGACAAAATAAGTCTCACAGTTGTATGTCTAACAACCGGGCTAAATGTTTCTGAATAATCTAATCCTTGTTCTTGACTGAACCCTTGTGCAACTAACCGTGCCTTGTACCTAGACACTGTCCCATCGGGATTTCTCTTCACTTTATAGACCCACTTACTTCCAATTACACCCCTATCTAAAGGAGGAGGAACCAGTTTCCAAGTTCCCTGTGACTGTAATGCATCAAACTCTTCCTGCATTGCATTCTGCCACTGTATAACACTAGAAGCAGCTTTGAAATTCTTAGGTTCGTCAATATCCTGTGTATCAGCAAGAAGTGAGAAGCCACATATGTTTGTCCTAAATATATCCTCATCAATGTAATCATGTAGTCGGAGTGAAGATAATTCAGGTATAGTAGTCAAGAAGGCTGAATAATATTTTCTAGGTATAACACCTGTCTTCAGTCTTGTTTGAATAACATTGCTTGAGAGAGGTACACTAGATTGCATATCAGAGGTAGAGATAGGAAGAATTACCTAAAGTTGCGCAGGACTGAGGACATGAAGCAAAAGAAGGTGTATCAGTTGGAGAGGAAAGAGTAGGACTTGAGCTTGGCAATGACTGTGATCCAATCTGTTGACTAGTAGGTGAGAACTGTGAATCTACAACTTGCTCATCTGAAGGCAGATGAGAGTTGTCTATATGTTGGTGTAGCCCTGAAGACTCTGAATGAACATGGTGACCACTGGAAGATTGTGAACTTACTAATGGGATTGGAGCTGAAGCATTAGGAGATGATGAACTACTCATTGGAATTGGAATTGGTATTATTGTATGTGTAACAGAACTAGAATGCATACCAGATTGTTTATTCTGCAGTTTATTCTGAGATCTTGAAAATGGAAAATCACTTTCATAAAAAATGATGTGGCGAGATATGATACACTTTCTTGTGACTGGATTGTAGCAAATGACTCCTTTATAACCTCTATAATATCCTAGAAATACACAGACTTCAGATCGAGGCTGCAATTTGTGATCATTATATGGTCGAAGCCAAGGGTAAACTGCAGATCCAAACACTTTTAAAGTTTTCAGCTCAGGTGGCTTCTTATACAATCTGATATAGGGAGAATCCAATAATAGTGACTTACACGGCATCATGTTGATGAGAAATACTGCATGAGCACATGCATAATACCAGAAAGAACTTGGCAACCCTGCTGCTGTAAGTAATGTTATTGTTGTTTCTACAATGTGTCTGTGTTTGCGTTCTACTAAGCCATTCTGCTGTGGAATATATGGACAGGAAAGTAACTGTTGTATTCCTTTGGCTGCAAGAAATGATTTGAATGAATGACTGGTGTATTCCCCACCCCATCAGATTGTAAAGTCTTAATAGTCATACCAAACTGATTGAGAACATATGCACAGAAGTTCACAAATATTACAAAGACATCTGATTTATTGCACATTAGAAATATCCAAACATATCGTGTATATTCATCAACAATGGTTACATAATATATGTGACCTTCGAGAGATTTTACAGGAGATGGTCCCCATATATCAGTGTGGACCGTTTCAAAAGGAAAAGAACTCCTATCAGTCCTAACAGGAAATGAAAGTCTAGACATTTTCCCTTTGATACACGAAGTACACATACTATGTTGACTGTCTATATCTACTGGTATACTAGACTGTCTCATCATCACAAACATTATTTCATTAGTTGGATGACCTAATCGATGATGCCATATGCTGGATTTTACCAATTTTCCAAGATAAGCAGCTGAACCCTGAACCACAGACTGTATTCCCTTCGACCTCTTGAGTACTGGAATCTGAAATAGTGATTTGGGCCTACTCTTTCCTTGATACAGAACCTCCTTTGTCTTCTTGTCCTGCACAAAAAATTGATTATCATCACAAATAAACTAACTATGGTTATTTGCACATAACTGTTGAACAGATAGTAAATTCCGTGCTATTGTTGGAACATGCAGCACATTTTTAAGCATAAGAGCATGTGAATTAGTGTGAATAGTCGTAGAACCAGTATTTGCAATGTGTAAACCTGTGCCATTTCCAATTGTAATTCTTTCAGAACCTTCAAAAGGTGTAACATTGTTCAGAGCATCCACATCAGCTGTGATATGATGTGATGCACTCGTGTCAACAACCCAAGAATCTTGAGGAACATAGTGAGACATTTGCTGTGCAGCCATATCATTTAGAGATTGTGGTGGAGGTTGACTTTGAAAAGCATAATTTCCCCTGTGATAACATTCCAGTGCAGAATGTCCTCTCTTGCCACAGATTTGACACTCAAGCAAATAACCAGTAGATGGAGTATTGGAGTTCCTATGAAAACAATTCACAGTTGTGTGCCCTCTCTTATTGCAAATTTGGCACTCTATAACTACATTAGATCTATTCTCTGCATTACCAGACCATGTTCCAGTACCATTTTGCCTTGAATTCCCAAAGGAATACCCACCAGGAAACCCTCCATTGAAGGTCTTGCCTTTGAACCCCCCATTGGTTCTGTAGTTATTTCCACCATTAGACCTATAATTGTGACCACCATTGGACTTGTAGGTACTGCCTCCATTAGAATTATGACCCCTATTCTGACCAAATTGTTGTCTTGGATTTGTATGAGACATATTCTCCATAAACCCGAAACCAAGAGATGGTTGTGGATAAACAACAGATGATGAAGTAGGAAACTGTTGTGACGGCTGAGAATTATATGGCTCATGTGGAAACTGAAGTTGAGATGGATTGAGATATGGAGATGGAGAAAGTACACCTCATGTACTAGATGGCAAATGACAGTGTCCTGCAGGATTTGAACCAGAAGCAGAAGACGAGCCCTGTGAATTACTAGATCCTTGAACATACAGTGCAGACAGATTCTGAGATAATACATTTGTGTCCCCTTCTATTTCTTTTTCAGCCCCCAACAATTGAGCTCTAAATTCTTTTAGAGTTATAGATGATTCTCTAGCCAAAATTACAATTCGAATGATAGCATATTCTTTTGGTAGGCCTGCAAGCCCTGCAATAATCACATCATTTTCAGACATAGATTCTCTAGCTGCAATCAATTGGTCCTTGATACTCTTCAACCTCAACAAGTATTTATCAACCGAATCACTCCCTTTTTGTATAGTATGCAGTTCAGTCTTTAGATGATTAACTCGGGATTTAGACACCAATGCATATCTATCAACAAGATTAGACCAGGCTTCAAAAGCAGTTTTGCAACCAAGAACATACTCAATGGCTTCATCAGAAAGTGTAGCAATCAATAAACTCAGTAAGGCCATATCCATAGACTCCCATTCAATATATGCATCAGTAATCCTATCAGTCACTCATTTTTCCGTATCAATTACAAATTTGGGTGGACAAACAATATCCCCATCAAAATGACCAAACATCTTATACCCTCTCAAGACTGATTGAAATTGGAACGCCCATTTAGCAAAATTATCATCCCTCAATTTTATAGTCAACATCCCCAAAAGATTCTCAACTTTGATATTCATATTCGCCATGATCAACAAAATTTAAGAACGACTGAAACGTTCAGATAGCAATGCAAGTCAAGTTCACGAAAGACTGACACTTTCGTATTCAAGAAAGACTGAAACTTTCTTTGAAACAAATGTACGAAAGACTGACACTTTCGTATATAAGAAAGACTGAAACTTTCTTTAGGCAACTGTGATGCAAAACAAATTCACGAAAGACTGACACTTTCGAATTCAAGAAAGAATGAAACTTTCTTCCAATCAAACTTTAACCAAGGCACGAAAAACTGACACTTTCGAATTCACCAAGAAAGATTGACACTTTCTTATAGTCCAAGAGAGATTGACATCTCTTGTAGATATCTTTCGCACAATCCAACTTTTAAGTAGTAATCATCCAATTATCACACCAAAAAAAACATGAATTACAAAATCCCCAAATTCACATATCACAGAAACGAACACCTTGAATCTGTAAATCAATCAGCGACACAGAAAGCGAAACATTGGAACAAAATCACCTGAAAGATTTCTTCACTAGAACACCAAACTTCTGCCCAGTTTCAACTTCCATCCTTCCTTGAATTTCTGACGAATTTCTGACGAATCCATGATCGCAAGCACGAACACGAACACCAAATACAACTGTAGTACAGCGGAAGAACTCCTAGAATCGAAATCGGCGACGAACCTCTCCCGGCGATGATACCATATTAACACTTGTGTATGTATCGCAAAGAAGAATAGAAGAAACACTCAGAGAAAAGAAGGAAAGTTTAGAAAGAGAAGTAAAAGGAATTCTTGTATATTCAATCACACTACAACAAATGGTCTGTATACAATGGTTATATACCTACCATCCATATTACTACAATGACTATAATACCCTTTGGTAGTTTTACTCCTAACTAACTCTATTTCCAACCAACTCCCAATTGTAACTAACTCAACCTCTTACAATATAACAACTATCACTCTCTTGTTATATCTAATATGATTGAGGATCATGGACTTGGTTCAGATCTTCACCTCGTCAGTGCACGTAGTAATATGTACTCAAAGTGTGGGGCAATCGACATAGCTCGGGGTTTATTTGATGGTTTGCTGCAAAGGGATGTAATTTCAAGGAATGTAATGATCTGTGGTTATACACATAAGAGCCACTATAAAAGAGGCCCTGATGCCCTTTTGGTTGATGCTATACAATCAAATACAGAGCCTAATGATGTCACATTCTTAGGCATTCTTCCAGCTTGTGATCATTTAGGAGCTCTTGATCTTGACAAGTGGATTCATGCTTATATAGATAAGAACTTCCAGAGTTTTACCAATACCTCCCTCTGGACAAGCCTTATCGGCATGTATGCAAAATACAGAAACATCGAGGCAGCAAAGCAAGTCTTTAATGGTATGGAAGCCAAACCTTGGCTTCTTAAAATGGGCATGCAACCCTTGATCTTTTCTCGAAAATGGAGGATGAAGGATTTAAACCAAATGCTACCACATTTGTGGGAGTTTTATCTGCTTGCAACCATGGTGGTCTTGTAAACCTTGGACGCCAATACTACAGCTCCATGACCACGTATTATCATATTTCCCCAGAACTGCATAACTATGGATGCATGAAAGATCTTCTAGGGCGAGCCGGGTTATTTGATGAAGGTCTTCATGAAGAGCATGGAAATGAAGCTAGATAATGCTGTGTGGGGTTCTCTGCTTGGAGCTTGTAGACTCTACAGGCGGGTGGAGCTGCGTGAATATGTTGCCAAACATCTGTTCGAATTGGAGCCTGAAAATGCCAGGTCTTATGTTCTGCTATCAAATATCTATGCAGGAGCTGGCAGGTGGGATGATATGGCAAGAATAAGAACGTCCAGGCTGAATGACATGGGAATCAAGAAAGTTCCTGGCTCTACCTCTATTCAGGTCGATAATGTTGTTCATGAGTTTCTCGTAAGTGACAAATCGCACCCCTTAAGCAAAGAAATCTACAAGATGCTGGAAGAAATCAACAGGCGTTTGTATACGGCTGGATTTGTGCCAGATACATCGGAGGTGCTCTACGACATAGATGAGGAGTGGAAGGAAGTGGCTTTTAGTCATCACAGTGAGAAGTTGGCCATCGCTTTCAGTTTGATCAGCACGAAGGCAGGCACAACGATTCGAATCGTAAAGAATCTTTGTGTTTCTGGAAATTGCCATTCGGCTAGAAAGCTGATATCCAATATTTTTAATAGGGAGATTATTGCAAGAGATGGCAACCGTTTCGACCATTTTAGAGATGCTTCTTGTCCATGTAATGTCAATTGGTGGTAAAAACCACTTGTACATTTTATATATATGCTTAGGCCATTAAATTGGAAAAACAAGGGCCATTTTAAATCCTCTCTGCAGTTGAGGGTCTTAATTAATACAACAACAACAACAACAAAGTTTTATCCTACTAAATTGGGTTGACTGTATGAATTCTAGAACGTCACTGCACTTGGTTTGGAACAAATGATGCCTAAATCTTTTCTTTAACTTATGTTCATTTACCACCCTGACAAATAAATTTACAATTAACCACCAAAACTGCAAACATTTGAACAATATGCCATCTAAATTAGGGTTTCATTAAGTTCCATCACGTGATTTATTCTGATCATAACCCTCAATTTATCTCACAAATTTCTTATTTCGTATTCATAAAGGATGAACTTTAGTACATAAACAAAGTGCTACAAGATTGAAAACCCATCTCTATTTATTATTTATATACAAGATGATGGGTTCATCTAGCAAACCATACGACAACAAGAACTTAAGCCCTAGTTAGTGATGGACTCATGCTTCATGGTGAGCCACTTGATTGAATGAGTTCCTTCTTGCCGTTGCCAAAACAGTCTTGTCAGCCACGATGAAGTATGCCATTCCAGCCACTGCCATCAAGTTAACAATACTTGATCAATCCAACATATAAACTAATTATAATTACATTTAGGAAGAAATTAATAGCTTTTAAAGAAGATTATGATGTTGAGAATTAGGGTAAGGATTAAAGAAAACCTGTGGAGATTATGAGGGCCTGAGCAGTGGGGTTGAGATTGGTTCTTGCCCAAGGCAGCATCCTCACACTAACCAGCTACATATAAAGTATAGAAATTAGATGTAAACCCCAAAAAAGTAGTTTCTACGAGCCATTGTAATATAGGGAGAGGCTATAATATTCCGGAGTATTGTGTACTCTGGCACTTAGTGCCCACATATTCAATTGAACGGTTGTTCAATCTTTTTTATAATTGTAAGATTAGATTTAAGCGCTTTAAGTGGCGGAATATTCAATATTATGAAGTATTGTAAATTTTTCGTATACATAATGAGGTCGAAAACTTACAGTTGGAATGGCTGTGGCAATGGTAGCAACAACAGCTGCCTTAGCTCCCGCTTTTACACCTTCTATTTATCAATTAAGGAAAGAAAAAAGGATTACACCTTCAGAAGAAATTCTAAGGATGAATTACTAAAAAATAAAGGAAAATGAATATTATAAATAAATTAAATCTTGGGATACAAAACTATGAGTGTGGTCCGCAGTTCAAAAGGTCCTTCGTGTGCAATTTAGTATTTAGCAGCAACAGCAAGATGATAAAAAACAATCTTAATCACATAATTAGCATATATAGCAGATTCAGTCTCCAACGAATGCTAAGAGTTAATACTATTAATGCATATATATCAAGTTGGTATAAAAGAAAAGTATTTTAGCTAGTCGTATTAATTTGCGTTTCTACCTCGTCACTTAAACTAGTCATGTTATGAGAAAAATAAATAAAATAAGATATACAACCAGTTACAAGACAGACTTTTTAATGAAATGTGAGATAAAAAAGAAGAAACATAAGCATACCGCGAGAGCAGTGCTTAGCCAAGGCCAACTGGTCAATTGAGGTCTTCTCATAGGGAGACTGAGGCAGATTTCTTGCCATTGTTAGAGACTAGCTGGTAGTAAATTGGTAACTGAATAAATGGTAACTTTAAGAAGTCAGAAGTGAATGAGAAGGTTTCTGAATCTTATGGATGATCATTAGAGTGTTGGATATTGGGTAGATATTTATAAGGATTGTGGTGCACATCAGCTTGTTGAGACCGGGCGGGTACAGGTGTCGTAAGAGTGTTAGATGGTTTCACTGAATTCCGGGGTCTGAGTCACTTGGTATTAGTTTCAACTTTCATCTTTGGTTCTCCATATTTTTTCTTATGGTTATGGTTGGTTTGTTTCTTTTTCTTTTACTCCCCCAAATACCCTTGGTTTGTCAGGGATATTCAGATGATCTATCGGAGGGTATCAGTGTAAATTCAATGTAGTCATGGAGATTCGATCAGGTGAAGGGGCTTTGAGATCTGCACCTTATCTATTTGGTGTTAGCATAAGGTGACACACGAATCTAAAAATATGACTTATTTTTTCAGTTTTGCACCTATTCTAATAGATCTAATTATAATTATTATAGAAATTCGACATGAAAATAAAGTTTCAGCTGTCGAAAATATAATATAGTGATGTTTTATCCACACATCATTTTTTACTTTTTACACACCTTTTGTTAATTTCTGTTCATTGATCTTCTTCAATTCATCTGATCCGACAGTCAAAAATTAGAAAAATGTGTAAGAAGTAAAAAATGATGTGTAGATATCACACCCCTATAATATATAGCACGTTTTAAGAGAACTGTTACTCTCATTTTAAAGGATTCTTTACAATTTTCTATTAACATATTTAAAGTGTAGATGACTTTTATGCATCACTCAAGTCACTATCTCAGAGGAAATTGCTAATGGTTTGGACAAAGCTGACCAAAAACAATGGGTGCACAAAAGGGCTTTGGTTCCACATGCACATCAATTGTTCATTAGATTAGGACAAGTGTCCTAAAAACAAGGGCTGAGATCATCAAGTGATCTTCTGTTGCAGGCTAGCATTCAAAATGTTGGATGGGTTTTGATCTCTTGTCACGAGTTGCTGGTTTTTTCCTTGAGTGGGCGGCGGCCAGTGGTCTGGTTTCATAAGTTGTCCGTCTTTGCACCGCCAAAAGGCAGTGCACAGTAGCCACTGTGGGGTGGTAGTGGTTTCACTTCCATCTGACTGACGGAGATAATATTTACTTGTAATAAGGCAGAGGCAGTACGTAGCATAGAAAATCTAGCTACCAACTTAATCTACCTTATCATCAAACTCAATGGCCAATAAAAATAATAAAAACAAACCCCTGTATCATGAGAGATACTTTTTTATAACTACTGTGATTGAGAATGTCAATATAACATACAGCATTTCAAGCCAATTACATACAGTTAGACTTGACCTACAGAAAAAGTTTCTTCACAAACGCAGCCATGTCTTTTTCTCTCCCACGCACAGCCAATCACGTTAGGAAAAATGTAGACATACATTGTTTTACACCCCCATTAACTTAGTGCTCATCATTGGTAAAGTAGTTAAAGGTAAAAATATTCTTAGTTTGATTCTTTTGTAACAATTAAGGTTGATTAATGTTGATATTTTTGTCGTAATATGAACAATGTACCAAGTCGAATAAGGGTTTAGGTAGCTCAGTTTGTATTTGTTTATTCAAAATTTCTGTGTTTCTGATCTTCCCCCAAAATAGTAGCTTATGAAAATGAAAATGTGAAAGCAACAGCTGTTCAGCGTCTCATAAATTTATATTGTAAACCACACAATTTTGAATTTAGTTTACCAAATATTTGTTCTTTTGGCCAATGATAGTACCCATTTCCCTGGTTTATGAATTAGCCAGCTAGAAGTTTTCAAACTGGCCCTTATATCCAGTTAATTAGGCCTGAGCAGATACAAAATCGTTCTTGTCAAAGATTTGCATGAAACTTAAACAATTGCCATGCAGAAGCCCGAAAAGCAAACAGATCGAGGTGACCATATGAAATCCATGAGTATATATTATAACTTCTCATTTGGTGAAAAACCTAAAGAAGTCGTACAAATACAACAATTTGAGAGGCTTTAGACTAATTTAAAGAAACAATGAGAGAGACATATAGGTATCCTCGCCATAGCTTAACATTGCCTATTTCCTACTTACAAATGAAAAAGAATAAAAATTGCTAGTGCTCGTATTGCTAAAATGTAGTGATCTCCCCATCACTTAAACCTTTATTGACGCCTTCATGCATATACAGTACGTTGACTTGGAGGCTTAAGTACAGTTCCCTCTCAAAAGCTTTATAAAATTTGCATTCATAAATTAATGCTGAAAATTTAGTACATAAATACTCTAGTGCTATTAGATATTGAAACCCATCTCTATTTATTTATATTTAAAGATATGGCCGTTCACAGGCATGCAGCAACAGGAGCATAAACCCTAGTTAGTTAGTGATTAATTAATTCATGCTTCATGGCGAGCCACTTGATTGAACGAGTTCCTTCTTGCAGTTGCCAAAATAGTCTTGTCAGCCACGATGAAATATGCCATTCCAGCCACTGCACGCCATCAAATTAACAATATTTTCTTTCAATTATAAACTAGTTATAATGATATTTAAGGCAGTAATTCATAAGTTTTTAAGAAGATTATGTGGAAAATTAGGGCAAGGTTTAAAGAAAACCTGTGGAGATTATGAGGGCCTGAGCAGCGGGATTGAGATTCGCTCTTGCCCAAGGTAGCATCCTCACACTAGCCAGCTGCATATATATTAAGCACATACAAAATTAGATGTAAACCCTAAAACAGTATAACTTTTAATTTATGGAGCCTGAAATATGATGAGATTGAAAACCTACAGTTGGAATAGCAGTGGCAATGGTGGCAACAACAGCTGCCTTAGCTCCTGCTTTTGCACCCTCTGTTTATCCAATTAACAGTGAAAAATAATTACAGTCCCAGAAGAAATTGTAAAAGTGAATTACTTAAGTATAAAGAAAAGAAAATTAAATAAAAATCTTAGGATATATGGCTATGAGTATGGTCCCCCACAAAAAAAAGTGAAATGGATTCTCTCCTGAGCATCTACTCAGGATCCTACTAACCCAAATACTTTAAAAGAACCTCTCTATTTGTAGCTGTTGAATTTTCATTCAACAATCCTTATGTGTAGGTCAGTAGAGAGAATCCATTTCCCTAAAAAGGGAGGCCCTATATACTATATCCATTTTCAGAAGAAAAAGCCCATTTACATGAAATAATACAAAATCTGAATCACATAATTAGCATATCAGTTTTCGGTCTGCAAGTGTATAGCTGCTCATTGGCTCAAGGTCATGATGCTTAACATCATGAATCACCACATAACAAATTCAAAAACCATATTAATATAAATTTAGCCAATAATTAAGCGAATTATTATTAGCATTCTAAAAATTTCATTCTACATTCTTCACAAGTGTTTTTTTTTTTCCAATTATAGAAAGTTTGAAGTGCAAAGTGAGATTTTTGGAATGCTAATAACAATTCCCATAATTAATACAAAAAAATTTAATTAATAAAATGCATATATAAATCAAGTTGGTCAAAGGGAAAAAGTATCTTAGTTACTCCATGTTTATTTCTTTGTCTTTACTTCCCTTATCATGCAATGATAAGAGATGAAGAAATTAAAAGAGAGATACGATTGCAACGGAACCAAAAAGAAAAGAAAACATAAGCATACCATGAGAACAACGCTTAGCCATGGCTAGTTTGTCAATTGAGGTATTCTCAAAGGGAGACTGAGCCATGCTTTTTGCCATTGTAGGAGATTAACTAGCTAGTTGTAAAAAATGGGTACTTGAAGAAATTCGAAGCGAATGAAGAAGGTTTCTAACACACTGGATGAATTGAAATGTTGGATTTGGGTGGATATTTATAAGGATTCAGGAAGCACAGGTGTTGTGAGGGAGTTAGATGGTTTCACTGAATTCTGGGGTCAGAATCGCTTGTTTTCAGTTTCACCCTTGGTTGTTGGTTGGTTAGTTCTTCGGCTTTTGTTTCTCAACGTGCCCATGGTTTTGTCTGGGATATTGGGTAAACCAAATGATGGTTGAGGATACCAATGTGAACTAAGTACAGAGAGAGACTAATTTATTTCTTTACAATCATGTATCTGACAAATAATATATTTTTAAACACGTAACAAATATTTATTAAATGGTATTGTAACTAAATTTTGGTTATATAAAAAGCGTAATGCCTTTTTTTATGGAATTGTTATTAGCACTTTAAAAATATTATTCTACACTCCTTACAAATGTATTTTTCTTTCTAATTATAGAAAATTTGGAGTGCCAAATGAGATTTTTTGAGTGCTAATAACAATTCCTTTTTTTTTCTCTTTTAAAAAAGCGGACAACTGATGGTAAGTCACGGTTATTCACCCATTACGGATCCAAAGAGGCTATGAGGAATTTCACCCTGCATGTGGCCACATTCAAGCAGACTCACCAGCTTGGAGATCTAACCTAGGACCTCTTATAATTTTTTGTTTATGAAGGAGCCACAGTCTGCGCCCTTATACCACTAGGCCACTTGCTATGGTTTAAAAAGCGTAATATTAGGTAGATTAAATTTGTGGGTAAAATTTTCAAACTAAATGATTAGTCCCCAATAAGAAATAATCGTGTTAATTAACACTTAAATAATAATCCAATCATTAACTTCCATGTTATTTAGTTTACAAAATTTGATTTACAAATTTAATCTCTCTAGCATTACCTATATAAACAAAAAATCTCTCCAAATGAAAGGGTTTTGAGATCTATAATGTTTAATTAAAGCATAGAGCATCTCCAACAACCTCCATAAATATAACTCTTCAAATATGAGTTTGTTGACCTATGTGGCAATTTAAAGAGTAAAATTTGCTACTTCACAATTTTGTTCTCCAACGGACTGTATAAATTTTGATATTATATTATATATTATATAGTACCTAATATGAAACAAAGTGATCTCACGTTTTGTTGTTGTTTTGTAATAGAGATGTTGAGAAAAGACACATGATTATAATAAAAAGAACGTTTAAAGACTTGGTTTAAACTCTTTAAATCTAGAAAGTGTAGTACAAGTCCTAAATTTGAAATTGAGTAGCAACTCTCTTAGAACAAGGAAATCCTACTGGCTAATTTACATATTTAGTTAAAAAAAA